TGAGCCATTAAGATACAAGAAAAGAGAAGCTACAATAATGGAACACAGAAAAAAACCCCAAATACTGATAGCAGCATTAATAAAACGTCCCTCTGGTTCTGCCCAGTCATTCAGTATGCTGGATGGGGGATGGAAACCAGGTTAAGGTCATTCCTATATCTAGGTTAAAGTGATGCAGAGGAGGCGGAGGAGGTGCACAAAGAGAAAGAGAGATAGACATGTAGAGACTACTGCAGCAAACAGTCTGGTCCACTGACCTCCTTTGCTTGTCCCTCTCTTTTTCTCTCAGTAGAGGAGAGTGCAGTATCCTGTGTCCTCCCACTCTAAAGATAATCAGTGTAATTACAGGCTCTGTTTCTATTAACCAGAAGCACATACATGCACACACACATGCACAGCTGACAACATTTTCAGCATGCTAACAAACCCCAGAGGACACCCCCCAGTCCAGCTGACACACACGCCATTCACCCAAAGCAACCGTTTTACTTTCACTGAATGAGTTCCCATCATAAACTTATGCTCAGACACATTTCCGCTATGTTTTAGAAACTACTTATGTTATAATTTAATCTACCTGAGTGGAGATTGATGTGCAGCAAATCGCTGATTTCCGGAGCTCCTTAAGACCGGCCAATTAGCGGATAATAACCGGGATTAGTTTTTGGTTTTTACCGGCGGAGGAAACGGACTAACCGCTACTTCTTCTTTTCTTCCTACGTTTTCTTCTTCTTCAGCGTTCACCTCAGTTCAAACTGCGGCACCAACCGCCGGTGGGACGTTAAATAAAACAAACGAACAAGAGAAGTAGCCTAACGGTTGTTCACGTGCTCCCAGGGGCGGTAATAACGGTAACAGTGGCTTCTGACTGAGATGGGACTGAGCTCCTTTTACGCGCCAGCTTTTCCAACTAGCGGTCTCCTCTTTTTTTCTCTCCCCCTTCACCGCTTGCCTCTTTTCTCTCTCTCACTCTCCCTAGCTCTACCCTTTTTTTAGGCACGCGCGCTGAATAATGTAGGGCTCGCGAGGTCCTGGGAGTGTTTTCTGTCCCGTTCCAGAGACAATCGGAGAGCGACCAGCCAGCGCGAGCTCCAGCCAAGCACAATGAGGCCGACCCGCGCGGATCAGGTTACCACCATGCTGCCTTTCATTCATTCATTTATTCCGCCGCAAAACAATCTGACTGCAGCCCGGCCAGGCCCCACTCTCTCCCCCACCTCTCAGCCCCTACACCTTCTGCTCTGATAACCCCCCAAACACCTCCCTCTCAAATGTGCTCGTGTGGCATTTTCTGAGGAACAACAACTTGGAACAGTCTAGAACAGTGGTTCTCAAACTTTTCACAATGAGTACCACCTCATAAAATATATGGCTCTTGAAGTACCACCCTTATGACCAACATTAAAGTACAGTATTATAGGCCTATTTAAAACCACATACAGTTTACAGAGACAATTTTATTTCTTATGTGAGTGTTATTTATTGTAACTGTCATAAACAGGATGTGACATGTTGCAATAATAACACCTGTACTGCATTAAAACATTTACAGCAGGTGGGATATCCAATCTTTAGGTCAGAGCTTCCCAAAGTGTGGGGCCCGCCCCCTAGGTGGGGGGGGGGGGGGGGGGGGGGACGGACACTGCTAGCTCGGGGGCTCCCACACAAACGCAAAGCGGGAGATGAAGCATAGCTGAATATGTTTCCAAACCAACTTCATTCTAAGCCAAAGACTAGAAAATATGGTGAAACATATCTTTGTTCCCCCTGTCTAAATCACGGACAAACAGTATCCCACAGTTGTTTATGTTTTTGGACCCATTTTGCACAGATCAATACAATACATATTGATCTGTGCAATGCTATCAATACATTTTTTGAAAAATGTATTGATAGCAATGTTGAATATTATTACACAGGAAAAAAAACAACTACACGTAAAATAATTACACCGTGATGCCTCTGACTTTGTAAATGGAGAGACAGTAACTGCGTGTGTATATGTAAGCATGTAAAACCTGAAGATAGTAAGATTGACAGTAACAGTATTTTGTCTGTATCTGCCATTCTGCAATTCATCTCATGTAAACAATAATGTGGTGCAAAGCGTGATGTGAAAAAAGTGTTTTTATAATGTGCTAACCATAGCTGTGTAGCTAGCCACCACACAGCACATCATTATATACCGCTAGCCCAACTTCAGTAACCCTACAAACGCCACTGCTGTTTTGTTTTCTGTCTTCATTTATGTCAGAAGTGATAGCAGAGCTGTATGTTTTCATTTTTGCTTCGGTGGTTAAGCTGCCGGATTTTCGGCTTCACAACCCTCCTTCTTGATTCGTGTACGTTGAAGCTCAGTTTGCTCTTCGTAGCGTTTCAGCCAACGACACGAAATACCATCGTGTGGTGGCTTTGCTGGTTCCGCTGTCCACCTGTCATGTGATGACCCTTCTCCGGGATGCCCCCACCCAAGGGAAATACACCGCTCTCAAGGCGCTGCTGCTGTTGCAGTGCTACTCCCTCTCAGATGCAGAGAGATGCAACTCCTCTCTCTCTTGGGCCGTGTGATGGTACCGCTCTCGAGCTCATGGAGAGCATGCTGTCCTTGCTAGGAATGGATGACAGTGGATTCCTCTTCACTCACGTCTTCTTCCGACAGATGCTGGCCTCGCCAACTCCCCGCTGCTGGCCATGAGGGATTACCGCTCACTCACAGAAGAAGTGGATCGCATTCTCCTGGCTACCAGGAGCTTCGGCATCCAGGCGATAGTTCCCGATTCACTGATGGCATCTCCTGCGCCCCCATTCTCCTGGGGGCCTCCGACTCATCGATGGTGGCTGGGATGGCAGCAGTTTTGGCCAGCTTCAAGCTGGCCAAATCTCCTTCATCTCAATGATGCATTTGCAGTTTTAAGGCTCAGGGAAACGAGGCCGCCAGCACTCTGTAGCGGCTACAACTGCTGCAGATAAGCAAAGGCTGCTCTTCTTAGAGGACTCACGCTCAGGGAGACGTTTTCTGGTTGACTCCAGCTCCCAGAAGAGTCTCGGGAACTCTCATGTCGTCTTTGCATACCTCCACAATGGTATATTATTTAATCTTAAAAAAAATTGGAAATTTCCTGCGTACCACCAGAGAGAGCGCAAGTACCACTAGTGGTACACGTAACACAGTTTGAGAAACACTGCTCTAGAACTCTAAAGGATTCTGAAGTTAGAATATTTACTGAAATACTTACATTCTAGAATAGTCTAGTTATATTTATACCAGTGAATGGTCTAGTCCAGTTTTATGCCATGTCATCTACTGAGCTAAAGTTTTTACTGGTTTTTATTTAATAATTTTAGTTATATTTTATTCATATTTTTTACATTTAATTTACATTTTTACTCATTTTAACCATTGGTGTAATTTAATGCAGAGTGATGTAAATGATTGTAGTCCTGTGAGAAAGTAAGTGCACCCTTAACGCTAGGACTTAAGAGGGTTATCCCGTCTTTAAGTCTGACGTCATTAGCCGTTTCCAGGTCCAAACTCCGCTTCTGGTCCCAAAGTCAAATGAACACTGATCAGTACGGATGCTTTACACAGGTGTAACAATGTAACAATCTGACTGAGGGATTTCAGAAGAATTGAAACATACAGCTCTGCTATCACTTCCAAATGAAGGCAGAATTTAAAATACAAAATATGAGTAACTGTATTCCGTTACAGTTACCGTTTAAAAATGTGGTATTCAGAATACAGTTACTTTGTTGAAATAAATGGATTACACATCGGTCTTTTCCTGTTTCATATGTTAGGCTATGCCCTCTCTATTTTTGGTAAATCCACGCCGGTGGAAACTCAAACAAAACACGCATTAAGAGGCTCTAATACCTGTGTCTCAATCTTGCGGCCCATTGCACCTCTACTTGCGGCCCGCATAATGACGTAAAGAAATATTTTAAAAAGAATTTGTTCAAAAAATTATTTAATATGAAGGCAATAGGCAGAATGTTACAGGCATAGCCCTAAAGAATGTAGCCTCATGGGCAGTGTAGTCCAGTTGTAAGTGAGCTATTAAGACTCGACTGTACACTGTTTTCCTCCGAAACAATAAGTTCCGTTGGAGCAGCCTTTCAACACCTCTCTCTGTCTCTTGCTAGCAAAGTTGACCCAGACAACAAAGTAAAGCTAGTTTTCGGCTACGAGCCCGACACGGACCCGACGTATTAGCCAGAGGTCCCTTTACTACCATTTGGACCTGTTTTATATGTGCACGGAATAGTTTTCTATACGAGATCGCTGCAAAAAGTGCAGCCTTACCTAATGTCCACCCTACTGTTACTCATTTTATATTAAGATTTAAAAATCTTGTTTGTATTGGTATGGCGAGTATCCTTCAGTAATAGTAATAAATCACACAGCAATAGTACATTCATGTAGTTGTAAAACTGCTGATAATATATTAAGTAATCCAAAGTATTCAGAATACGTTACTCTCATTGAGTAACGTAACACGTTACAAAATACATTTTGGGGCATCTATTCTGTAATCTGTAGTGTAATACATTTTAAAAGTAACCTTCCCAACACTGGTAGCTAGCTACACAGCTATGGTTAGTATAATATAAACACAGTGAAGCTGGAGGATAAATGCTAGCTTTTTGTACTAAATAAAAGTTAATGTGAGGATTCACTATGGTTAGGGACACGTGCAGTTGCATGACAAGTGCAACCCAAACACCTCAGACCAACTGTCAAACATGGTAGTGCATGGGTGATGATTTTGGCTTGTTTTGCAGCCATAGGACGAGGGCACCTTGCAAACCATGAGTTGACTGAAATTGAGAGAGCTATCTGGGGTAGTCCTTTCCTCTTTATATATCAAACCAAGGTTTCTGACTAATGTTTGAACACATTATGTGAATAATACTGTGAGGTAACACTTGCCCTTTTTCTAGATGCAATATGAAGTTTTAAATTAAACTTGCTTGACTTCTGTATACATGTCACTCACCATAGCAGTGTGAAGATTTGTGTTTGCAGTTGGAGATTGACATCCATTTGCCGTTGTCAAAGTAACTCCAGATGTCTGATTGTAGACTGGAAAACAAACAAACAGGAAGTTATTGGTACCAAATTTTAGATTAATTTTCACCTCTGGAAGACCTGCACTGTGGAGCTATAATCAGATCAAAACTAACACAATTATTACATGCTTCAATACTTAGAAATGCTTCAAAACCAAACCTCTGATGACACTTCCAAACACAAAACACAGGACAATGATTGATCCCAGGTTTGACTTCTTGAGAACATATCAGTCAGTATAAACTATGAGCGTTTCACTTACTGAATACCGTCTTTATATTTCTTATGAAGTAAATAAATAACCCTCTTTTAGCCTAATATTCTACATGCAGATCTATACTGATACTCTAAAAGTTTATCAGATGAAGCATCTAATGTATTCCTTTGGGAATATGTATGGGTCGGATTCATATGCCTCTGCATATGCCTTTGTGGTCTGTTGTTAATTTTTATAAATTCTCTAATCTGCACTAGCATTACGCTGACAGTAAATCTTTATGCTTCATCACACGCTGTGGCTGTAGTTTCTTTTGATCAGGTTCTTTGCCCATTTATTGACCCTCTTCCTCATTGGGACTGCATCTGATTTCATATCTTACACCCATGCTCACTGCAAATGAAGAAGCAACACTGCTGTAGGAGTAGAAAATATCAGCATGGATCTGTCAAAATAGATTCATTCTGAAACTACTTCTACTGGGCTTCTACAGGACAATCATTGATAGTACGGGCTAAACTCCTGCTACTACTATGCCTGTCACAACTATGCTAATTTTGCCACTGCTGAAGCTACAGTAGTTAGCAGTTAGCAGCAGCAGCAATTTTACTGTTGTTCTAAAATAAAAGACTTAAATTTAGAGTTCTTTAAGGTTCGATTACAAGTTTGATTGATTAACATTCTATTATTGCTGCTTTTTAGATGGTGTAGCTTTTGCACATATTACTGTTAATATCTGTAAAATATAATGTCATTTCTAAAGCATTATAGATGAAACTATTCAATACTAAACTCTGCTACACCATGAAAATACCCTACACTTCAGTGAGTGCTTTTGCTTATTAATCTGATATCACTTTACACCCCACAACTACATTCTGGCAAGGAGTAACTAAAAAGAACAATAAGAAGGACAGCTGTGAAATTAATGAAAGTGGTGTTAGTAAAGGTGGCATGCAGTGGTAGCAGTAGCAGAATTAGTAGCATCAGCACCAGTAGTGGTAGACCTGTAATAAACCTTGTAGTATAAAAGGAAATAATACTTGACACTCTGTTAAAACTCAGGATGACTGCGTTGTACATTAGTTGCATCTGTCGTATGATTTCTCTTTTGAATTCGTTTCCATTTTTGCTGTTTTTTTTAATGATTTTATGCCATGTGCACTCTTAGTTCCACCTTTTTAATTTCCATCATTACTCTGTTTCTTGTGCTTTAGCGTGACTTAACTTCTGTTCAGGTGATATAAGAGGAACTTCTGTGAATAAGGGGGCTTGAAGCTGGCCAAATCTCCTTCATCTCAATGATGCATGCTCGTATAGTGGAGTAGCTCTTGGCACATGTATTATTATCCTGTCGTGTGTGAGTATGCCTGTGTGTGCAATAATTATAGCAGTCCTGGTTTCTGTTAAAGGCGCTAGGCTGCCATTGGCTAAAGATAAGTCAATTACTGTTGATTATCACACAATACACACCCATCCTGTGCACTGAGAGTGTGTATGCAACCTGATTGCTATTTCCAGATACTGGTTGTCACGACTTCCCTAAGAGAATCATTTATCACCCTAAATTATATCTTATGGAAAAGATTTGCAAACCAATATAAACACAAACTATTAGGAAAGATGATACAGCACAACTGCTGTGTAAAATCTCTATAGGGTCCTACAGGAGTGTGCTTTATGAGCACTATTTGTCCATGTTTCTGTAGTGCAAAATTCATAGTGTGACAGGTTCTTTTTCTCTACCTCACCCTTTTCTTTTACTGTTGTGAAGTTGTGAGTTGTCAATAAAATCAGATGAGTGGACAAGTGATTCTGTTTATTAGTGTACTGTTTAGTGTACTTGTACTTCCTTGTAACTGCCCGCTACTTTCCTAAAAGTAAATTTGCTTGTCAGTCATTCTGCCCTCCTTCCTACATTCCTTCTTATCTACCTTCTCAAATACTTACCTTCCTGAGGTTGTGCCCAATGGTGGAATGTAGCTGTGCTCAGCTTGCACAGTATCATGCTTTGTTATAGATTGAACTACCCCAAATCGTATACATGTGAAACAGAAATTTTCATTTGTTACAATGTATTGGTTTGAACTTTTGCTTGGAGAAAGTATTGTGCCTGATGATGGATGTTTGTCAGTAGTGTTATTTCTTTCCAGTTAAAAAAAAGATGATTAGTGTGACTTGCAAGCACATATTTAGAGCACCAGTAAATAAAATGATTAATGATTAGCTCCGACCTACACCGACTGTTGTAGAACTGAGATGCTAAATATATACCAGTGTTTTTCTTTCTCTTGTAGCTATAAATACACTGTCCCATTTATAGTTTTACCTGTAATGTAGTACTTTTAGAGTGTAAAATTAGTACTTTTACTCACGGAATCTGAATGCTTTCTTAACACTTGTCTTATCAACCTTTTCTTTTGAATCATATCATTTTATTAGATATCACATACTCCCAGTATCTCTCCCTGTAGGACTGTTGCAGCACTACTAGAGCAGATTTTCATAAACAGTGATAAGTCATACTGTAAAAGAAATCCATAAAAAAAAAACTTGCACAGCATCTTATATTAATATGCTGATATTTTTTGTAGGAACAGACTCACACCATGTTACAGTGTCTGTGTTAGGCCAGTTACTGTGTCTCAGTTAGGCCACTTCAAAATTCAAACCATTTCACATTAAAAAAAATGTTGTAAATGATGCATTTTGTGCATTCAGTTAATCCATATTTTCAAGATTTTGTTGTATTTTGTAATAGTTGTGTATAGAATATTTGTAACTAATACTATGCAATTATTCTAATGTGCATCTACACAGTGACTCTAATTTCTAACTTATTGAAACTGTTTTTAAAATTCTATGTATGAATTATAGGCAACCATTCACCTTCCTCTCCTTCACACTGACCGACTGCATTTTAAATGTATTTATATTCAGTATAGTTTAAAGGGATGCTATTAAAAACCCATCACAACTGAGATATATATACTGGTCTGTAAAGTGTCTTTGTAGATGTCCAGAGTGTCTTAGGTGACCACTGAAAACACAATGTGCGTGCTCGTTAGTGGCAGTGGGTATTATAACAGCTGGGTGCAGTAAGGACAGCTTGTACTCTCATTGTCAGCAGCCAATAAAAAAGTGAATGTTAGTTATAGATGGAAAGAACAACAAGCGAGAGACAGCAGGGGGGAACTGGAGAAACTCAGCTTTATTGACCAAAGATAGAGAGAAGATACAGACATCAGAAAAGACAGAGCGAGAGAGTGAGAGTGAAGACTGGAGTACGGTGTGAAGTCATAACCAGAGAGAGAGAAAGAGAGAGAAGTGTGAACAATAGAAAATGGCTCCTTTCTGTTTTAACAGTGCATACAATCATGAGGGCAGGCAGACAGGAAAACAGAGACCCCTACAGAGTCAGAGGAGTACTGCAGGTGTGGCAGTGGGGCTGGTAAACTCAACAGATTTGTTGTCCATACACTGTATACCTCTTTGCATTACATGAAAAACACAGGCACATTCCCAAACAAGCAAACTGGATCAGTCAGGTTCTGATATCAAGATCCGTCTTGCTATTTTGGGGTTTGTATTTTCATTTATAGGTGTTTCTTTCTTTTCTTTGCTCTGCTTTACTTCCTATCACCTTCACACTTTAGTGAAACTAACATTATACTTTCCTTAAAACCCTTCTCTGCATAGTGTCCTCACTATTTAAAAACAAATAGCTATAGGTAATTGTTCATGTTTCAGTAAATCTGAACAGGCAAATGTCTCCAGCCTTCACGCTTGTCCTGTGCAGATAAATAAAATAATTATGTCTAGTACATCTGGCTATTTTATTGTTGGCCAAAAAAAGCTTGTGGTGGTCATAAGATGGGTGCTGTTAATAATACACACAGCAGTGAAGTGAGAGAATGAAATTATACAAAGCTCTCGTGTGTGCACTCATACAGTCATTATATGGTATCACAGGACATTCTAACAATGCCTAGTACCATAATAACTATAATTATCTCTTGATCTCTATATAGATGTGGAAAATAAAATCATCACTAAATAGAATATAGAGCATATTTACATTCTGTATCTACACTGGAAACCAGACGAGCCAATCACACAGCCAGCTGGACTGACTGACACCAGCGGTGACCAATCACACTGAAGCATGTTTATTAAAAGGATGTATGGCTGTGCACAGAGCCACATAAGAAAATAAGCAATTATTGAAATCTGCTAGTTTTTGTTAAATACTATTTTGTTTCTTATTTGTGATGATCAGAGTTGGTACACAGTGTGGAAAAAAAACACTATGTTCTTCAGTAGAATCAGGATGAGTAAAGCAAAAAAAAAGAAAGAAAGAAAAATAGTGCACTCAAAAAAAAAAGATTGTTTAGCATCCCGTGTCCAATTTATTCCCTTTAGTTAAATAGTTTAGGTTCCGTTCTGTGTTTTAGATTTAGTTATATTCATGATGTTTATAGTTCCTATATCAAGAGGCACACCTGAGCCACAGAATACCCCTAAATCTAATTATCTGGGTCATAAGAACCTTCCAACATGGCCGAAAAAGCGCAGTCATTTCCTTCAATCACGTGCTTCATCTGGTCCCTATAGCTTCAGTGACCTCATTCATTTGTCTCTCTGCAGGGTACAATGGCAAAGTGTAATCATTAACTCTCCAAAAATCTTTTCAAAAGATCTATATTGAGCACCACCATCCTCCCTGTTCTACCCAACATGAAAGACACTTGAAATGAAGTAAAGTCGTTCCAGAGCATCCATTATCATTCAACTGAATGAGCACAATTGCTGCTTTTGAGAGATTTTTCTGAAAACAAGCCAATGCAGTGTAACATATACTATGTTATAATGACAACCAGGCCTTGATAATTTGTAGCACCCTTGTAAACGAGGGCCTGGTTGACGGCTATAGCAACAGCTGGCAGTGTTTTCAGTCTCTTTGCACTTGAAAGAGTATAATGGATCTCTGGTGGAGACAATGAAGTGAATTTAATGGACAAAAAAAACGCTGATTGTAATTTGCACATGATCACTGTCTAAAAGCTCATTTGAGCACAGCTATTATAGTTGTAATTTAGTAGTGGTAGTGCTCGTTAATATTCATTATTCACATGTTTGTGCCCAGGCTGTTAGTGGTTGTTTCTATAGGTATAAATGCGTGTTCCCTCACTGCCAGAGTGTTTGTTAAGCTGCCCTTAGCTTCCTGTGCTCTGTAGTGTTTTGAAACACTGGAAAATTGACTGTGCAGATCCTAATGGCTGCCAAAAGGTGTTCCACAGCTTCTCATTGGCTGTTGAGTTAGGAAGTGCCAGAATCAGAGGAAATGACCTCAGCAGTGGAATAGCTGAAGTCGATGGAGGAAACACCAGAGAGAACGAGCGACAGAGAGAGAGGAAGATGGAGACAGATGGATGAGAGAAAGAGAGAGAAATTAACTACAGCATCAAAGACTCGCTTTCCCATTGGAGGAAAACATTGTCTCAACAATTCAGAGTCCTTTAAGTTTCAAAAAACAAAAATTTTTTAGCTAGCTAATTAAAAAAAGAAATTAATATCTAATTACTTCTAATCTCTGTTAGGACTATCAGTGTGGTAGAATGAAAGAGGCACATAAAGAAACCAAGGCAACGAGTACCCACCTTTCCTTCCTCATCAGTGAGAGACTGCGCAAGGAAAGGAGTTGGTTGTTTGAGTTTGTGTGTCGCGTGTGTGGTTGTTTATGTGTCTTATGTGTTAAAACAACAGCAGGAGGGTTGTGAGTGAGTAAAGAAGTACAAAAAATATATAACTGAGGCTGTGTTTGTCTTTTTTAATATTTTAAGAACTGGCTTAGTAAAGGAGATGAGCTGTTTGATTGTCCTTAGAACCAGACATACTGTTTGGTTAGAGAGCATATCAATGTGAGTTGATTGTCCATAAAGTCTTACTGACCGCTGAGATTGGCTTTGTATGACCCTCTTTAAGCTGTTTGTCAACCGGTATCAATTTTGTCCATCTCTCTGTCTGATTTCACCACAAGTATAGCAGCAATACAGCAGCTTGCTTCCTGCATGAATTTCCAAAATATTCTGTGTTGTCTAAGGAGACGGCAGATGGAAAGAAAGAGCCTCCGTGTTGACAGAGAGGATAATGAAAGAGAAGAGATGTAGAGGTGGTAATGCAACTGAGTAAAAAGTCAACAGTCAGACAAGAGCGTGTATGCGTGTATGAGTGTGCCAGCCGATCAGAGTCCAGAGGTGGAGGAGGAGGAAGGCAGGGCTTCTGTTAGTAATCATCCAAAGACAGAGGAGAAGAGGGTAATAATAAAAGGGTGGAAGAAGGGAGAAGATTCAGTCACATGAGGATGCAGCACTGGCAGCGTTTCCTCTTGTCTGTACCTGTAGCAGGGGTGAGGCCGGGTGGGGGGACCGTGTTGGCTTCTGGATTTGCAGGGGGTGAGGAGGTACTGTCAGGCTCACGGCCATCAGAAGACAGTTCGGTGCTGACAGCTTCAGACGTGACTGGCCGGCCCGACACGAGGTCTGCTGCTGTGCCGTCGATGACGGAGATGTCGGTGACTGTTTTCTCTCTCAGTGATTTCTCATCATCTTCATCGATGAGAACAACCTCAGCCTTCACAGCGCCGTCGAATCCCAACAGTTGTCTGCTCTCGCTCATGTCTTCAACGTCCTGGTAGCCGAGGAACACCATGGTGACTGGGTGCTCCACGCTCGCCTGGGGCGGGGAAGTGAGCTCGGTGCCCGGGTGGCCTGAGGATGTTGGTTGGGTCGTGACGGCAGCAGAGGAGGGGGGCATCATGCCCAGACGGCTTTCCCTCTGGAGTGTAACCTGGGCTGGTGGGCTAGAAGGGATGGATGGCGGGGCACAGGAGGGTGGGGACAGATCATCAACATCTGCTGGAGAAACATATGCCTGTGGGGCAGCTGGAGTCACTGTCACCTGACCCCTCCCGCCGTCCCCGCCTTGTACTACAGGTCTGGCAGCTCTCTGGATCAGCTGGTCAACCTGTTCAGAGCTCCAGCCATTCTCTACGGTGGTGGTGGACACGCCCCCAGAGGAAGTGACCTCATAGACCACTTTTCTGCCATCGTCGTAGACTTTGACCCCACGTGAAGCTGCATCCAACGGGTTCACGCGGTTGGCCGAGAGGATGCGCTGCTCACCAGTCTGCGGGTCGTGCTGCACGTTGATCTCCATGGCAAACATGGCTGTTAAGGAGGGAAGGGAGAAGGGAAGATTTGATGCAAAAAGGGAGTGGGGAACAAGGAAGGAAGAGTGAAGGGGTGGGGGACCAGTGGAGGGGTTTGGGATTGGAGTGAGGAAAGGGAAGGGGGGATGATGGGAGGGAAAAAAGTGGATGAAGTGAGGCGTGAGGACAGGGACATAGTGTTTTCTGTTTACTGCTAAATGTGCAATTAGTAAAAAACACATAACCAGGATTTTATTTTATTCTCAAAAATGAATCAAACTATAAAAGGAAAATATCTCGATCAAAGCCTGAACAAATGGTTTGGCATTCTACAAATATGGATCTTTCCTTACCTCAAAATCTGCAGCATTGTGAAGCATAGTAGTGAAACTTATATGTTTCCCCCTACTTTTTTTTTAAAGGTGATAAGTAAAAAGCTATGTTAACAGTTTCCCCATGCTCTCAGTATCTTCCCTGTGGCTTCCGCAACCGATACAAAGCTGACCTTGTGTTAGCACCTACTAATACATAATCCATTACATTATTATAATTAAATTTCTACGTTTTCTAATACAGACAATCATGAAAAGCACCGAAGCCCATGTGCTTCCATACATGTGGTTAAGTTAACTTAAAAAAGTTTATGAGATTTGATTAGTTTAGAGAAAACGTATCGGTGCCGCTTCAGACTCCGTGTGAGTTTATGCAGGATATAATCCAACTTGGCTGAGGCCCAGAACTGTCCTGTCCTGTCCTCCCTTCCTCCCTCCCTCACTCTTCTCTTCTCTTCTCCACCCCCTCCCCCTCCCTTACCCTCCTCTCCTCCCTTAGTCTTACCAGGTCTTGGTCTGGCGTTGTCGCCCAGGGCAGGTGGGCCAGTCTGGTGCTGCGTGGCCAGGGCGAGGTGGTTGGGATCGGGGTCCATGCGGTCCGAGAGAGGAGCAGACATGCAGCCAGTGGCATCTAGTGAGCAGGAGCACAGGAGGGGAAATGACAATGAGATGAAGCTGTGAGGCTGTGAGTCACACACACACACTTACATTAGCTACATGCCAATACACACAAACACACACCGGGTATTCACGCATACACACACCTCAATGATGTGGAGTCCACCCTGATACAAAAACACACAAACAGTCCGGCCTCACAACAGGGTAACTAACCACACCCATGTGTGACCCTGCCCGCCTCTATTCAACACATCCACCCGCCCATACACACCATCTAACTCTCCTCAGCTCTGTTTCTCTGTCCGCAGCAACTCTAGTACCCCTGAGGTTCGTTGCTTATGCAGCAGAAGTGTGTGTGTGTGTGTGTCCGTATTTGTGTATATGTTACTGCTTTGTGTGTGTTCTTGTGTGTCTATGTGTGTGTGTGACAGCAGGAACAAAGCTTTTGGGGCTTACAGGGCTTGCTGGTGAATGGGATGAGGATAAAGCCAGTGACTGCAGGCTGCAGAGTCATGGCCTTGTGCGTGCGTG